CTGGATCATATCCCTTAATGTCATAATCATAATTCTTCTTGTTTTTGTAATGATAAATACATGTAAAGTTTCAAGAAACAGTACTAAAATAGTGGTTGAAATCACTAATGGAAAACATTCTGTACAAGTACCACTTAAAACTCTAACTTTATGTCCTACCTACTGGCAAATAAAGGCACCTAAAAACATTGACCAAATAACAATCAGAGGTATGTGGACTCCAATTGTTACATTTGACTGGGATGATTTTGAAATAAAGAATAAGCTAACAAATCAACCATTACAGATAGAAACAAATTACAGGGTAAATTATTTTGTGTCCAGAAAATTAAGACATATTATGTCTACCACTTATTGTGCCTATTTCTTTATTCAACATGACAAATTGTTCATGCCTTTACAAACTTGGTAATACATGTTTATACCCATTGCTTTATAATAGTTAGTATAGATAGCACCACCTCAGACAAATAAATTGTATATATTGTTTTAGTATATATGTGAACATTAATTTGTGTTTTCATGAATTATCTTACAATGAAGACAGACTTTGACAAGATGAAAAGAAATAAATCAAATTGATGTCATATATTTTTATGTGTCGCATGGTGTATTGATATTTGTAAATATGTATATGTTTTCTTTTTATATAAAAAAAAAACACACACACAAAAAACTGGTGAGATACTTATATGCAATATGCATGAGAATATAAAAGGTATTTAATGACAGTTAAAAAAAAAAATCATTTATTTTGTTATTGTTGTAAATATATGCTTTTGTTTTGTACTTTATGTAGAAAAATACTGATATAATGCTTAATGCATTTACTTACTTAAGTACACATAGAATGCTTGATGTATTTAAATTAATACAGTTTGGATATATTACTCCTTTACTCTTTATAGGAATAAAGAAAATTTAGAGGAGGGGGTGGTATTATGCATTAAAATTTTTGATTTTATTTTTTATTATTCATTTTTATTTAATTTTTATTTTGCTTTTATTTCTTAAGGTACACTTTAATGTCGGTAATATGTTATAACAGAAGGCATAAGAACAAATACAGATAGGAAGATCTAAGTTAACCAATCTATGATAATCGCTTTAACAAGATAATTAATCCTGTTTCAGACCTTTCGATAGTAAATGTTACAAAAGAAATTTTAACACTATCAGTAACCATAAGCTGATTTGTCTTGAACTTACAGGGTTTCAGTTAATACTTTTATTAACAAGTAAACATTGTTTCATTGGATGATTCCAAATTTCGTTACACGAAATTAAAATTGATTGGTTAAAATTACCTAAGGGAATTAAGGGTCACATGATGTACAGTTAAATTGATTGGTCTATTATTGTTATGGAAGTTGTTGTTCTAAAGTCCTTTCCTCTGAAGAGCCATAGATTGTATGACTCTGGATTGAAATAGTTTAAAAAATAGTTTGAAAATAAATTGAGGAAAAAGGACATCTTTTTGTATTTTAGGTAAGTCAAATATTTTAAGTTAATGTTAAGAGAATGTTGTACTTTGTAATTTTTGGGTGTTATAACTTATGTTCTGACTTAAATGTATATGTAATTGTTTTAACTACATGTAGAAGTTATTTAATATATTACTTTCTTAGATAATAACTTGAGATTTGTTATTGGTAGCACTTGGCGTAATTGTTTAAACTTTTCGTTCAACTAGTCGTTTCGTTTAATTTGACCAGTTGGCATAATTTAATAGAAAAGTAAACATGGCGCTTTCTGTCAGTAGAATTTATTTCCGGAAACTTTATATTGTTATTATTTGGTGAGAACTTAAGTTTTAATCTTTATTATATGTTAGAAGGCAAGATGATAATAAATGGGAATGAAAACATGTAATAGACTATGAAATCATCATCTTTTGTTTAATATAATCAAGTTAAAATGGCATGTTGAATGAAAATTATTGAATTCTACTTTCACTTTGTTTAGATAATTTGTATGTGTAATATAATTCTATTATAATTTCAATCTTTAATATCTGTTTATGTTATTCTATATATGGACATATAGATTGTATGACTCTGGATTGAAATAGTTTAAAAAATAGTTTGAAAATAAATTGAGGAAAAAGGACATCTTTTTGTATTTTAGTTGTACAAGAATTCCCCTAGTACCAAAGCAGAACACTTTGGTGAACTATAGTGGTTCAATAAAATACATGTTTACAGCTTGAAATAGAAAATTCACTATGATTCTACACACAAAAATTTGAAATAAATTTAAACAATACATTTGATTGATCAATTTTTGAGAAGAAGACCATTTTTACCGTCATACGACTGGCTATCAAATCCCCATAACATATAACTATCCCTTAATCTTTGTTTCTGATGAGTTAATTACAAATCAAAATGAAAATTAATTTGAATATTGTTGAGCAAATCATGAATATTTATCAAGGACTGAAAAGTTTATTGTTGCATTTGTTTAAATGTTGAAGGCTGTTTAAGCCGGTACTACCTGGAGTGGACTGTATATTGCATTAGAGTGAAATTCCATGTTATTATTGGCGACTGACGTGTGCATTTATTGCAGTCAGAACTCTTTTTACATGACTTGTGTTTGATCCGAGCATATAAAACTAGATTTTCTCATAGACAGCAAGTCTGATTTATTTGTTTAACAGCTATTTTAAATGACAATTCAAGCAAATAAAACCATGTTGTGTATTCTTTCAGACTTTTACGAAAACACAGACTTTATGTTTATTTTGGTACCACATGATAGGACGTTACATCAATGCATTTTAAGAATTTATCGTTAGATACTCTGATTAAGTGCCGGTCAAGTTTTAATGATCTTTTGAAAAAAGGCTGCAATTTTGAAGAAAAGCAATGTTATAGTAGGAGTGTTAATATAAAAATAATAAAACATCAATGCAGCTTTGAGCAGAAAATGTTTTGAAAAAAAAACATGAAGTGTAAAGCATTGCATTTTCCCTGAAATCGTTTTCTTTAAACAATTCCTTTATAATTGTTTAACACTAGCAGAATACGATCTTTAGAACAGAAAAGATACGCGATCCCAAAAATAAAATACTACAATATTTTCAATTATTGCGCTAGAACAATTCTTATTGGCTTATTTGAGTCACTCAAACTTGTTCCTTGACGATATCTTTTCACTTTGTCAGTGACGCAATCATTTCACCATTGGCTCAAAGGATCTACCTTAGAATTTTATTGTATTGTAGATTAATTCAACTAAGCTCTTGTGAAATAGTTATATACTTGAACGTTTTTTTTTCTTAAATTGGCAACTCTCTGATTACATATAAAGAAGTGCAGATAGACAAATAATCTACCTTTCAGATCTAGAATGTCAAAAAGGGAAATGATATACCCAGTATATTTGTATAGACTTTCAGATATTGTTGACAACATCTACATCTTTATAGTCTTTGGGGAAAAAACAGATTATTTGATTAATTCTAACCAATTCGATTATTTCGATAATGTTCATCATGTGTGAGTTCATTTTGATGAAGTTTTTTATAGAATGCAATCCGATCACAATATTGCGATAAAAATGAACGCTGCGATAAAATGAACGCTGCGATCAAATGAACGTTGCGATCAAATAAAAGCTGGATAAAATGAACGCTGCGATAAAATGAACGCTGCGATAAAATAAACGCTGCGATAAAAAGAACGCTGCAAGGTCCGTTCTTTCCATACGTCCGATTAACGAACAATGCCGTCGAATGTATAGAATACATCATATTGAAAATAACTGGATCCGAACGTGGGTCCGATTGAATGGTCAACGCAATGGGGAGACAGATACATGGAAAACCAGCCTTAACACTAGTGTCCATAATCAGACTCAATCAAAATGGACTGCAACTTAAATTACAAAGATAAAACATAGATTAAGAATAGATTAAGAAGCTCTTGTTTTACACTCGTCTAATTTTATGTTATTTTTTGTAACTTGATAGGCAAAAAAGCTATAACATAGCTTCTGTAGTACAATGGTAGAGCGTAAGCCGCAAGAACTGAAACAAAATGATTATTTTATATTTATGCCCAGTTCTTATTAATTTTGCCAATCATTTCTTCAATTTCATCTCGCATTAGTTTGCAACCGATAAAATAGCGTCTGCCCTATGTGCCCTACACGTAACAAATCGTACTCAACTTTTACTCAATGAATATTTCTTTATAAAGAGAGTTAAATAAACTATTGACGAATATATGACTGCAGAAGGCTAATTTGTATTGTCTTATTGATCTGAACTTGTATATCGGTTTGAAATTGGAATATAAAACTGTTAGAATCAATAGTTATGGTGTAAAGCTATATCTAATAAAATATCCAGAAAGAAATATTATGCTGCTATTACAAGTATGATTATAACAGATGACCACAAAACCAACATAGTGTGTTTGCGACCAGCAAGGATCCAGACCAGCCTGCGCATCCGCGGATGCGCAGGCTGGTCTGGATCCATGCTGGTCGCAAACCCACTATGTTGGTTTTGTCGTGACGCGGCTCATTTCATGTATGTCCCATTCGCTGTTAAGGAAACATACTAACATATTTCTTTCATACACGCATATTTCAATTTCTCTTTTTCAAATTTCAAATAAAATGTAAAATGGTGACTTCGGATATATAGCTAAACGGTTACCTTTATAAATTTAAACATTGAAAGTAATGTGCAATTTTAAAAGTATCATTTTGAAGATGGTCCATATGCATACGATACTAACCATAAGTGTGGAAAACTGTAACTTATTGTGACAATAAAACGTTTTAGCTACAATGTCTGTTTAATCAACAAAAGATTTCTCTTCGGCGATTATATCTCGTGTTTTGTTATAATAAAAGAAAACAAAAGCAACACCCAAGGAAATTAATTTCCATTTTGAATAGAATAATGCAATTTGGTAAGTCAATGATATCTTCTTTTGTACTGTAGATATATTTAAAACAGTGTACGTGCTATTCATTTATTGCAGACTGAAAGAAAGACCCGAATAATACACAATGAAGGTAGCAATCATTGCATCATTTGTCTACCTATTTGGCTGTTTTGGATTTGTAGACGGAGGTAATCATTTTATTTATTTGCATCTATGCTGATAAACACATTGAAACCGATATTATTTTGATTCTAACAAGACAAAATAAGATCGCTATGGACAAAAACATAATAAGAGTGGAAAACATCAGTAAAAATGCGTTATAATTGCTGTCTGTACATTATTTTTTCGGAGGGAGAAAAAAATAACAGCTGCATACAAATAGGTCTTGGCAATTTTAACCCTTGGCAATTTTAACACCATTTCTGTGTCTCCAAAACGGGGTGTCGGTGGCGTCGGCGGCGTCCCCTTCGGCTTGTCCGGCGTATAACTCAGTCATTTAAGAATTAAAGTCAGACTCAGTGATTATCCTGTCTGTGCCCTGCCTTGTGCTCTGTCATATTTTTGTTTGGGGTCAGATCTGAGCTGAGATTTTGACTATGAGAACGTACGTGAAAGCCGCGCCTTAGATCATTGCCGCTGGTTCTTGTTGCTGGGTCGTGTGGTGTTGCGTTCATTGAGCGCCGCCTTTCCTTGTTGATTTTGTCTATTATATTTGGTATGCATGCTTCTTTCAATGACCCGAACAGTGGCGTACCTACCGATATGCCAAGTCAAGGGGAGCAGTGGCCTAGCGGTTAAGGTGTCTGCCTTTCAACACAGGGATCATAGGTTCGACCCCTTATCGGGTCACGACCATGTTCTTCATATGACACCAGTACTGGTTGGTTCCAGGAAGCGGACTCGAACGTGATTAATATAAGTTGCAAGAACTTGTTCCGCAATATAGCTTAAATAAATATGTTTAAAACCAATAAGCCAATACGCACGGACGTATATAAAGAACAGTTTCGAAAAAAAAATCAAAAATGAAAACAATAATTTAAGAGACGATAGATCAACAACTTTTTGTAGCTGCTAATTGATTTTATTGTTATGCGTAGGATGTTATTATTATTCGAATATGTGTTAAATATTTGGATAAAGTGTATACACAATCATTCAAAGGTTAAGCGAAAAGGGAGTTAGCACATATGAGCAAATTTATTACATTGCTTGGGTATATCAACGGGAAGCCATTTTAGAGAGAATTATTCTATCGTTGTTTCAGTCTTGAATCCGAGTAATTCCGAAGGAATGGTTTTAAAAAATCTAAACTGAAAAACTAAATGTTCAACTTTTCCACAGAGCCACGGAGTGACGTCCACAATGTAAAATATGATATAAACAATTTCTTTGGAAATTTCTCCGTTTTTATGCAGATATAGTTATCCTTAGAGTAATCAATGTTATAATGTTGATGTACCTCGTCAAAACCCAAATAATGATACGAAAATGTCCCATTTATTACAATAATCTTTCCAGCAATTACAAAATTCAGTGAAAACTGAGCATTTATTTCTCCTTTTTTTACATTTATATGCAAAATTAAACTTTGTTTATTGGACCGTAAAAATACTATTTACAAGATAACAAAAAGTTCTTTCTACCCTCTTATTTTTATTGAGTATAGAAATAAATTGCTTCCTTTTGCAAACAATGACATATATTCTTTATTATACGTAGTCTAGCTGATATATACACATATAACATAGATTAATATAGAACGAGAACAATGTAAAGCCATATAAGGAACTTTTATTTTCGCCGACTTAAGATACAGAGTTGGCCAGTCTTTCTTTTACGTGCGTTAAAATAAAATAACTTAGATATTTCGAATTAAAATTGAAACAGTAGAGTTGAGAAGAAAAAATTTTTTTAAGTCAATACTTTTATTCTTTTACATTGACATAATACGCATTTAAAAATATTTTTCAGTGACCTAAATGATAGCGTGATAATAAACTTTACCTTTGAATACGATAATTTATTGTTACACTAAAGTATTTAAGCTTTTGTGTTTATACTATCGCCCTACAGATCATTTTAAAGCGATATTTTCCTTGATTATATCTCATGTTAAGTTATGATCAAACTAAAAAAAAGACAATGAAAAATTAGTTAAAAAATGAAATAAAACCCATTTTGATTACAATAGAGACATATATTTGCTTATGTTTTGTTTTTCTAATAGTAAATAACTTTTGAACATTTAAGACAGTGTACACGTTAGACTTCGTGACTTCGTGCAATTTCTCTTTACATTCAATACATGTACGTGATGTTATTCTATGATGTTCATAACTTTAGATAAAGACAATAGAAGGACTATTAAATGTCATTTCACCGCTAAGTGTTATCCCCTTAATCCCTGGTTACAGTACAGAGCTATATCAAACATGAGACTTAGGCAACCCTTCGCTAAAGACTTGAACTCGGCGTATACTCAAAAAAGCCAATGTTCGCCACTGCCAAAGTGCAGGATACAATGATCGTTACTCTGCACTTCTTGTTTTTGAGTTATTGCCTTTTGTTTATTTTCATACTTTTTTTGTCCAGTCCATTTCTCCTATAAAACTATAAACTATAAAAGCTCTGGGCTTGAAACTTCATAACATGATAGGCCTCATTGAGAATGAGTGCAGTACACAAAAATCGGTACTCTGTACTTCAAGTTTTTTTTATTTCATACTTTAATTTTTCCCGGTCCAATTCTGCTACACTTAAAAAGCTGTTGGCTTGAAATTTCATAGAAGAAGTGCAGTGAACAAACATTTGTACTCTGCACTTCATGGTTTTTGAGTCATTGCCCTTTGTTAATTTTCATACTTAATAGGCGTGTCAATTGAGTTACTGCCTTTGAAATATATTCATACATTATTTTTGTCAGGCCCATTTCTCCTAAACTATAAAAGCTCTGAACTTGAAACTTCATAGGATGATAGGCCTTATTTAGAACGAGTGCAATGCACAAAAACCAGTACTCTGTACTTCAGGATTTATAGTTAAATTCATACTTTATTTTTGTCCGGTCCAATTCTTCTACATGAAGCTTCATAGGATGAAGGATCTCAATGATAAAAAGTGCAGTGAACAAAAACTTGTTTTATGCTCTTCATGAATTTTTAGCCATTGTCCTTTGTTAATTTTCATACTAAATAGGCGTGTCCATTGAGTGTTTGCCTTTTGTTAATTTTCATACATTATATTTGCCCGGGCCATTTCTCCTTAACTATAAAAGCTATGGACTTGAAACTTCATAGGGTAATAGATGTCATTGAGAAGAAGTACAGTGCACAAGAACCGATACTCTGTACTGCATGCTATTTTAGATATTGCCCGAAACACTTTATAATTAATGAATACTCATTACAAATAAAGAGTTTGGAATAGCTTTTCGCTTACCATGCATGATGCACTACATAATATTAAAATTGATGCTTTTAAATGGTAATTTTGAATGTGTTTTTTATTGTCTATTAAAAGCTTCCTGCTCATGTGAGGATTTGAAACTTGATGAAAGGAAAAGTGGGGAATATTCGTTTTACAATAACCGAGGCGAACAATACAAAGTGTATTGCGAATTTCACCGAAACTATGGCTACACATTTATATCCAAAGAAGAGGCTGCAAAGGCCGATTTCGCATGCATCGGACAATCTCATTCCCAAGTGTTAGTAAGGCATCTGCGCTCAAATGGTCATCAGTATGATACTGTAATGAAGCAGATCTCTTCACATTCTTCCGTACCACTTAATGTGCAGTACAAATCAAATGTAGGTTATGCCAGACCACAAAACCATGTAACATTTGGTCCTTACATATATCTTGGATTCTTACCAGCGTCTATTGCTAGAAGCAAAACTAAACAGGGATACAGAGCCAACGATGTCGACTACACTTTCACAAACTGTGATGCAAATCCAAATAGCTATTTGGCTTTCTTTGTCAATCCTAACCACAACGATCCATATGGTTATTACAAGCGATGTTGCTATACTAAACTAATGAGGGATTGGATCGATGTTGGTAAAAAGGCTTCGAAATATCTTCCATATAATTACTTCTACCAGTTTGAGATGCACATGGGAGGCTGTGGTGGATACGCTATCAACGGCTACAACACCTTTAATGACATTGTTGGTGCAGCATTAGGATTTCGCTTCTGTAAGTAGGTCAAATAACTGATACTTTACACACTATAACTAACTGATACGATACGTTACCTTACTCTTTTATTTAACCAATGATGACGCTTTTGAGTTTACGTTTCTCATAATTTATAAATGAATATTTTCAAATTGCCTGACAAGCAAAGACTTTTAAAAAGATATGTGAAACACTGCGTGTTTGAAAAAAATATATTCAAGTTCTCCTCTTCAAACATTATTAGTCCAAGAGATGGCGGGATTTTATTGCAATTTACTGTATCACAAGCGGAACCATTGCTTTTGTAAAGCATATTGTTTGTAGTTGCTAAAAACTCATTTCTAAAGTTACGCAGCCCAGGCAAAAGTACAAAAGTTCAAGATGGCCGCTAATATGGCCGCCATAAATTACAAAATACCATATAATTTTTGTTTCCTGACTTTTACTTTAAAGAATTTGTACAAAAGAATTTGTACAAAGTAGTTTTAATTGCACAATCTCAGAAACAATATGGCTTATTTATGATCCAATCAAGCAAAATTGGCAATTATACCGGAAACTTTAAAATTATTAGTATCAATTTACCAAAAGGTGGTAAAAATATCATTTTTTGACAATTTGATGACATTTGTTTTTCCCTATAAACAAAATAAAAATGAAAATGCATTAAAATTGTGAGTAAATTGTACTCTGCACTTCATGAGTTTTGAGTCATTGCGCTTGGTTTATTTTCATATCAATAGGCTTGTCCATTGAGTTATTGCCTTTTGTTAATTTTCATACTTTATTTTTGTCCAGGCCATTTCTCCTAAACTATAAAAGCTCTTGACCTGAAACTTCATAGAATGATAGACATCATTGAGAAGAAGTGCAGTGCACAAAAACCGGTACTCTGTACTTCAAATATTTTTAAGTTAATTTCATACTTCATTTTTGTCCAGTCCAATTCTCCTACGCTTGAAAAGCTTTTGGCTTGAAATATCATAAGATGATGGATGGCATTAAGAAGATGTGCAGTGAACAAAAACTTGTACTCTGCACTTCATGATTTTTAGTCATTGCCCTTTGTTAATTTTCGTACTAAATAGGCTTATCCATTGAGTTATTGCCTTTTGTTAATTTTCATACTTTATTTTTGTTCGGGCCATTTCTCCAATAATAGCTATAGACTTAAAACTTCATAGGCTGACAGATCTCATTGAGAAGAAGTGCATTGCACAAGAACCGATACTCTGTATTGCATGATATTTTAATTATTGCCCATTGTCCATTTTCATACTAAGTTTTTGTCCGGCCAATGCCCCTACACTTTAAAAGCTATTCACTTGAAATGTCATATGAAGATGCATTGGCAAGTGCAGTGCTTAAGAATTTGTACTCTGCACTTCATGACTTTTTAGTTATTCCCCTTTGTTTATTTTCATACTAATAGGTTTGTCAAGAGCATAACTTGGTTACAATAAGTTTGATTGACTCCAAATTTGGTATGCAAGCTTTTTTTCTTTTTTTCATTGACCTGAAGTGCAATACACAAGAGTACACCACAGTGTCCTTCATTTAATCTGTCAGTGTAAATATTTTCAATGGCATTCTTAATAATATAACAGTTTTATTAATCCTGACGTAACATTGTTACAATCAGTACAAGTGCCACTAAAGTTAAAGGTACATGTACATGTACATACAAAAGTATATACGTGTTTAAAAATAACCTATATTTAACAAGAAAATACCGGACAGCTATATTGTTGACAAGGAGACACATCCGACTCGCGGAGTTCTAGTTTTATTTATTTTGTGTGTGTGACAAAATCAAGAGGAGTCTTAGAATTAATATTGAATTAATCGGTGTTTGGAAAAACATTTATATTTAATGAAATAATCATTAAAAAATAATGAGTTTAGAATAGCTTTTTGCTTAACATGCCTTATACAATATACAATATTAAAATTGATGTTTTTAAATGGTAATTTTTAATGTGATTTTTATTGTCTATTAATAGCTTCCTGCTCATGTGAGGATTTGAAACTTGATGAAAGGAAAAGTGGGGAATATTCGTTCTACAATAGCCGAGGCGAGCAATACAAAATGTATTGCGAATTTCACCGAAACTATGGCTACACATTTATATCCAAAGAAGAGGCTGCAAAGGCTGATTTCGCATGCATCGGACAATCTCATTCCCAAGTGTTAGTAAGGCAATGGCGCTCAAATGGTCATCAGTATGATACTGTGATGAAGCAGATCTCTTCACATTCTTCCGTACCACTTAATGTGCAGTACAACTCAAATGTTGGTTATGCTAGACCACACAACCATGCAGCAATTGGTCCTTACATTTATCTTGGATTCTTACCAACGTCTATTGCTAGAAGCAAAACTAAGCAGGGATACAGAGCCAACGATGTCGACTACACTTTCACAAACTGTGATGCAAATCCAAATAGCTATTTGGCTTTCTTTGTCAATCCTAACCACAACGATCCATATGGTTATTACAAGCGATGTTGCTATACTAAACTAATGAGGGATTGGATCAATGTGGGTAAAAAAGCTTTGAAATATCTTCCACGTAATTACTTCTACCAGTTTGAGATGCACAAGGGAGGCTGTGGTGGATATGCTATAAACGGCTACAACACCTTGAATGACATAGTTGGTGCAGCATTAGGATTCCGCTTCTGTAAGTAGGTCAAAAACTATTAAACTGATAATTTACACACTATTAACTGATACGATATTTCACATGACTCTTTTATTTAATCAATGAAAACTCTTTCGAGTTTACGTTTCTCATTAATTATAAATGAATGTTTGCAAATCGCCTGATGAGCAATGAATTTTAAAAAGATTAGTTCAAACATATTTATTTAAGCTCAATTGCGAAATATTCAAGTTCTCCATTTCTAACATTATTGTTTTCTATGAGGTTTAAGTATCATGTTCAGACTTTAGGCAAAATGATCATCATTTACTTTTTGTTTTTCTTTTCTTCAGAAATCCCGATGGTGTAACACGCAAGAACTTCACAAGAATTAATTGAATGAAATTTTTACAAAGTGGTCAAACTTCATTTAAACTCTTTGCGTAGTTGTTCTTGAATTATTTCTCTTTCTCCAATATTTGCTTAAACATTAACTTCTCAATTTTTTTTCTTCTATTTTTACTTAGAAAGCAGAACTGAGCAACTTAATCACTAGTACATGAAATGTGCGTCAAAAATAGACTGTGTTTGTTTTTGGGTAAATATTTGATAACTGGAATAAATCAGGTCATATTTTGCATATAACATGTAGATAAATGATTTAAATTATAGAAAGATGTGAACATTTACGCGTTTCTTAAACTGTTCATATCTAATATGTTTTTTATCTTTGTTCGTTTATCTTGGGGCGCTTTTAACGCTTGACTCTCATTGTAAATTTATTAGGCACAAATAAGAAGTTTATATGCTATCAACAATGAAAAAATGCATCTCCCTTTACACCTTTTCTATTTTTTACATATTAAGCACTTGACAATTATTTATTTAATTTTAAATTAAAAAGGAATTGAACAAAAACATAAGAATTAGCAATAATGTTACTGTCAGCTTAACTTGCTGAATCTCTGGAACTAATGATTGGAATAACGATAAATTGTATTGTATACGCTACTGGAATGAACACATATGTGAACTTTTGACATGTAACGAAAACATTTCAGGTGAAAACAAATGTCCCTATTCCGTAGCATATCTTAAACACACTAGCTTTAGTAAGTTTTGAAATGAAATATTTAGAATCCCGTTTCTTCCAACTTGCAAGGCTCAAAATTAGATGGCAAAATTGGCGATGCCCCTGAAGTCCCTTAATGGTATGGAAAGTTTAACTAAACATTTTCAAAAATTTAAAAGTAACGAGCTAAATATATTTATGTTGAGAGCCTTGTTATTTGAGACATTTTTCTTAAATCATTTAAATCATTGCAAATGATATTTCGCTAGGGTATATTAACTATTATATATAGATTAACTTTGAAAAGGGGTAGTATTGCATAATGTAGTAAACCTCTGCCAAGTTTACTTTCATACAGTGGCCATGAAGAACAATTATAAACTAGGATTGCTCTTGCAAGGCCCTCTATAGTTCACAGGGCTTAAAACGTTTAGACCAACCCTTCTCTATTGAGTTAAGCTTACCCCCATTTATGTATGACATTCTGCAAATTTTATTCAAATTTTACTGATAATGTTTTTGCGTTGTTCTTAAAATCACTTTTAGACGTAAATCAAAACAACTAACAAATGATGAACTTGGAAGAATTCCTTTTCAGACTCGGGAAATATACAATACAGACATAAGTAATTGAACCGCCAATGATCAAGAGACAAATGCATACATCGATGATCACTAATGTGTTTAGTAAAACATATGTGTACATATTTTAGATATATCTTAACCGTCTTAGAATTACAATGCTAATGTTGTTATAACTTGTAGCCCAATCCGTTTACTCTATATTTATACATCTGTATGTACATTTGTTTTTGTGTTATTCATATCTTACAAGTATTATATAGTTGAAATAAAATATTATTAAACTAATCTAAATAAAATTACCGCTGTCGTAAAAAAAACGATTACACCGGGGACAGATATGTCTTTATCACGGGGAATTTGTCCACATAACAAGTCAGCATGTTTTTGCTACTTCGCTTTTAGCGAACTTCGAATATAACGAACGATGTAAATGTCCCATTGAATTCGTTAAAAGCGCAGTCGACTGTATGTCCCAGAATGATTGCTTAGCACTTGTAGTACAGCGTAGTATGACTGTGACTTATGGTGATTGTGCTTTTATGAAACTCTGGAATGCCCTACTTAGAACACTTAAAAGCGGCGAAACTCTTACAGTGTTTTAAGAGAGCACTTAAAACTCACTTATTTAAGAGGTTTTATTTGGACTGATTATTTTTTAGGTTCTTACCTGTATTTTATTATTTATGTGGGTCTTTTTAACTTTTTAAACTACATTTGATTTGAATATGTGACTTGAGCAAGTAAAGAAACTGATAGCGAACAGCATGGATCCTGATCAGACTGCGTGGATGCGCAGGCTGGTCTGGATCCATGCTGGTCGCAAACCCATTATGTTGGTTTTGTCGTGACGCGGCTCATATACCTTTTAAATGTCATTCCGCAGATATCACATAGATGTGGTCTTTGATTCAAGTGTACTGCTTGTTGGTGTCGTTGTAAATTCAATTTGGTTGTAGTCTTTTATACACATCTGTTACACTGAAATGTTTTAGCCGCAATTTTCTTTTTCTTTTATATATAGTATCATTTATTTGGTTATACTGTACTGGTCCTACATATTAACCGGACAATCAGTTTACCGGACAAAAGCTATTACTGCTGAATTGTGCTTTACTTTTGCTTCGATTCAAAAATCATACATTCTGAATTGTACACACACTTTCTATTTCAAAGTAAATAACAACAAAACCACTCTCAGGTAAATATTGTTGAATCAGTTCTTTATCTACTAACATGCCCTTTTGTTTACTAGTAATTTTTTGACCTTGTCATGCGGGGGAATAATCTGTTCTGCGCAGGTCCGAATATGGAGACCCTTAATGTTTTTTTTTAGATAGGTATAACTTTTAATTCTTTTCAACGTTACCTCAAGAGACAATCGTTACATTTTTTGATGATAAAAAGTAATTTTAAATTTAGTCTAAACATTATCTCGGTGTTGTTTTTAACAAAAAAGTGCAAATTCAAAAGGATATAAGGTTACGCCCATGGGAGGAAACTACATGAAATGTAAATAAAATTGCTTTTGTAACATGCTACATGATGACCAAAAGGAAACTGTATGACAAAGAACAGAAGAACAGAATTCCATTTGAATATTAAAATGTTTCATACGTTTAAGGATCATGAAGGATCAATACGTGAATTGAGTAAATAGTTTTAATTTCAATTACAACCTAGTGCTGCAAATCAGCCCATTTTACTAGCCTATTTAGAGGGGTAACTGGTCTATGTCAGCCAACAGCAAGTTTCATATACCAAAATTTTCGTCTGGATCTGTAGTTTCTGGAATGAATATTCATTTGGCCCAACCACGATGCGAAGCTAAGATATCCAAGATGGCGTCAAAGATGGCCGCCAAATCCCTAAATTTTCTAGTATATTTACGTTGGCTTATTTCCTTTTTCAGTTTTGTAAATCAATTGAAATTTTTCATAAAATTTCTTATTTTCAACTTACTCATGCTATCAATTTTGACTTTATTGATTTTTTTTCTAGTTTTCATCGCCTAATTTAAACGAAAGAAGAAAAAATATGTTGCAAACTGGGTGTCCTTTTCTGAATATGTGTAACTTATTAGTTTTATTCTTGTTTAAACTGAATAACATTCATGATTTCGTTTAATACAGCTTTAAATCTATATCTACACATATTTAGAATAAGTTAGAATAAGCGGACTATGCCATAAATGTGTTTTATTGATCTAAATTAATATACAAAGTGGGTGGGGTATTACGAACGGGGAGTCAACTTTAAATTAAATACTTTTTTGTTTTATATTATAATAGTAATATAAAAAGGTTAACAATTTTATTTAATTGGTTAGTGATGAGACATTTTATCTTTCATAGAAAATGCCCTGCATGTGTGTCTAAATGTTGAAATATCTCATTTATTTGTTTTATGCACACAATAAGGAACTATTTACTGACCTGCAATTCGGTATTTGCTTGCCTTTTGTTTAGTTGTTTTCTCCTTAGCCATAAACATTCATAGTTAGTCTTCAAATGTGATTTTGATTATACTTGTAGGTCACGGTTCAAGACCCATAAGCTAAGCATTTATTAGGCAATAATAATATCTATTTATTAACTTACAGAATTTCTCAAGACAACATTTATCTCCACAACCATCATTATTGTAGGTTACTTCCCTAAAACATGTTTTTATTTCAAAGAGTTATACTACTTTATGAATAAGAGAATTTCTTTATTATGCAGGCTGTTGATTTTAAATATTCGAGCGTTCTGTCTGACATGCAGCTCTTGTTTTAAGGCATTGGCATAACATATGATAATCTACAATTGAACCATATTTGGAGTTTTGTCATTATTGATGACGGATATAATATATACATTAAAATATAAAAGGTAATTTGAATTTGCTAGAACATTTAAAATGGGTAGGTTATTCAGTTTACAGTAAGAGACTTTTCTGCTAGACTGTATCTGAATTATAAATAAAATATTATATAAATATAAATATATATATATATATTGAGTGAATTGAAAATATATATTATGAGGTCAGTTTCTTTTTAGCTAAACTATTCGACGATTAAGGACAACTATCCTAGTCCCCCGAGCGTCGGCGTTAAAATTTGCGTACCATCCATATGGCTTGAAACTTGCACACTTGTTTTACCATCATGCCCTCCACTTTCAAACACTGGAGGAGGTCTATCAAGCATTTTGACAGAATTATGCCCTTTGCCCAACTTTGAATTTACATCCCC